ACGGAAACAAACAAACGAAAAAAAAAAGAAAAAAAGAAAAAAAAGAAAATTAACGAAACACACCTATACACGTATGACTTTTTTTCTGTCGATTTTCACTTTTCTCCGTTTGTCTTGCGACCTTGATATAATATATAAATATATAGATTTAATTCCGTGGTTTTCTTTAGAATTGTTTTACTTGTATCTTTCCTTTTTTTTTTTTTTCTTTCGTTCAATGAGTTCGTTGAACCGGATTCGCGATATTACCGTATAGTAAGCTCCCTCTCGTGACTAACGACGAACTGTTTTCATAGCGCGTAACACGAGGCGACATGATGGTGTTTCTTTTTCCTTTTTTTTTTTTTTTTTTTTTTTTTTTTGAACATCGAACGATGTGTGTGTGTGCTTTTTGTTGTATATTTGACGATTACTGTCGACCGATCCGCAATGGTGATGACGATGACGAGATTGTCACGATGATTGACACGCTGATTGATCGCGAGAGACGAAAACAGTGGTGAACGATGAAAATGTATTAAAAAAGAGAGAGAGAGAGAGAGAAAAAAAGAAAAATGGTAAAAAAAAAAACTGATGCAATTTGATGAAATGAAAACTGAATACAACGTGTTTGATTGCTGGACAGTTAAATGAACATGTATTAATATCGTGTAACCCTCGTACGAGATATATGTGTAATAAAAACATATTTATTGTCGGAATTTGTTGTTCACCCCCTTTTATCACTCTCCCCCAAACCCCTATCGTTAAGCAGAAAGGATTTATCAATGTATACAGCATAAAGATAAAGTTATCTAAATTGTTGGGGAATAGCTAGATTTCGACTAATACAATAACTAAACGAAATACTAAATGAACTTGATAAATAAATGAGGACGGACAGGGGTGCAAATAAAACCAGCCACCTCTCGCTTAATTATTTGTAAATATATTATTAAGTAACATCTATAATATAGTAATGAAAAACCATTTACATTAATAAGTGTCGTCGTAATAGTTGGTGTACGTGTGTGTCAGTGTGTCAGTGTATCATTCCCGCGTCCTCCGTTCATCGATCCAACAGCGGAGACGCCATTGGTCGCGCGGAGATTCGCGTGGCCTGCGCGGCGAAAGCGCGACATTTCGAATCGTCGGGATACTCTTCGTTCCCGAAAATACGAGGCGCGCAAAACTCTCTCATCTCCTCTCGCTCTCCTCCCTTAGTTACGCGTTAGACAGTTCAGCTGAGGGTGAGGATCCACCCGCTTTTCTCACGCCTAATCCCTAACCTGGTTCGAGAGATGAAGCCGATATCTCTGTATCTGTTTCACTTTTCTCTCTCTCTCTCTCTCTCTCTCATCTTTTTCGTTCGGTAAAAAAACGTATCAGGCATCCTTTACACGTGGCTATCCTTAATCCTAGCGTGGTTAGTACGTGGGTATATCGAGATGGTTGCAGCCTCGATCGAGATCTCAAAAAATCCAGCCCCTTTCGCATAAATTTCCGGTTTCAATGAATTTCACGTTTCTTTTTTTTTTCAAGTTTCGAAGGAATTTCGTCGATTTCTCTTTTCTTTTTTCCCGTGTATTTCTTCAGTCGTTTTCAGATTAGATTTCGAATCATTTTTTTTTTTTTTTTGGAGATGATTGCAGAGATCGACGAAATAGCAGGCTTAGAGGGATTTAAAGTAGAGGTCATTTGACTTTGAGTAGAGAGATGTTTATAGTCACTGATTATAGTCGCTATGGCGATTAGTAGTAGTCACCACACTGTACTATGGTCGTCACGATAATCACTATAGTGCAGTATAGTCAATACTGCATCAACAGCTATTATGTTTTATAATAGAATTCTATTTATCTGAATCCACGATGATCACGTTTTCGCATCACTCGTTTCTCAATTTAGAACTAAAAAAATTCAGATAAATAAAGTCCTACTCTGTGCTAACCATAATACTGTTTCTACAGCGATCACAGTAGTCACTATAGTGTACTGTAATGATTATAGCAGCCACTACATTATCGCAGTAGTCATTATACACTGCCGTAGCGATTATAGTAGCCATTACATTGCACAGTAGTAATTATACTAGCTACTACGCTATTGCAACGATTGTAGTAGCCATTATACTGTATCCCAGCTACTATAATCTATTACAGCGAGTATGGCAACTATTACAGTATACTTCCTAATGTTTTAGTGATTGTAGTAACCATTGCAATATATTCCAGCTATGAAACTAGCCGAAGTATACTGCACTGCAGCGACTATAGCAACTACTACACTTCATTTTACAATATTGCAGTGATTATAGTCGCTGCTATAGTATAGTGACTAGCGACAGGTCACTGTTACGCTAGTCACTCATCTGTAATCACTGATTTACGTGTGCATAGCGACCGTAGACAGTGATTTGCAGTCGCAAGCGGTTCTCAGTGGCTCTCGATCGAGTGTTGCAGAGGGTACATCTTGCTCAATTCATTCAATTTACAAAAATTCGAAATTACCATGTAAATCGCTAAGACTAGAGACGGTAGTAGTCGTTGTGTTTCGTTCTACAGGCAGTAACGTGTGCGCGCGACTGAATAGGATAGGGACTGAAATCTTCAATTCAGTGCATTTCTTTTTTTTTTTTTTCTTTTTTTGTTGTTGTTTGTTTACATGATCACTTATCCCATTAAATTGGTTGAATTTTTTTCATGCCGGTGATAGGGAAAGATTCCTTTCTTTGCTTCTAATCGAGGAGATGAATTTTCTGTGAGATGGTAGCTAATGGCATTTTGAAAGTTCAATAACAAAGTAACTCGCTTTCTGTCTGTATATCGATAGCACGTGTTTGCCTTTCGCAGTTTCTCTTTCAATTTCGTTTGAAAGGAACATGAATTTTCTTCCATCGCGTCTGACAGGTGCATGCGTGATTTACTTCGACGTGTGCAATTGAAATTCTGCTCCATTTCTGCGACTTTTTTCAAGAAGCGTGAGAGACGTGAAGACAACGTTCGTCAATCAAGGGATCGCTATGTGTTCAGGCTCAAGTGTTTAGCAGAGACGAATTTCTTTCTTTCCCCTTTCAAATTGCTCGATTCTTTGATCCTATCACCATGAAAATTAATTGCCCGGATCGTGGTTTGTTCGCTGCGGAAATCGTGTTTTCACGCTACGCACCTCCGTAAGTACCTGTCTTTCGAATCCGAATCGTTACGATATAAACATTATTTTACATCATCAAAGGAACGCGGATACATTCCCGGTGGTATTCGCCTCGGAACAGAACCATCGTTTCATCGAACGTGCTTCTCTCTCTCTCTCTCTCTCTCTCTCTCTCTCTCTCTCTCTCTCTCTCTCTCTCTGTCATTCGGTGATCACCTTTCTCTCATTAATGCAATCTCGCGCGCGTTGACCAACGAAACTTTTAAACAATATTCGCTGGAACATCGAGTTACTTCTGTCGCAGTCGAGAATTCGATACGAATTAGTGAAACGAGATGTGAAATTTCTTGGAGGAAACTCGCTTTAAACACTGCCAGCTGACTTCAAAAGAAATATTAACGCTTGTACCGAGAATTTGTACAAAGATTGAGTGAAAATCATCAGAAAGAACAATTGAGATATTGATTTCGTTGTAAAAATTGTCAGAATTGTTGATAAAAAAGAAAAAGAAAAAAATGAATAAAAGATTGGAAGCGAAGCGGCAAGTCATCCGAATCCCTTTTTTCGTACGGCGACACGGCTCGAAACTGTCGATTAAAACACCGAGCAGAGATTTGTTCTCCTCTCGAAAGTTTCGAATCGTGAAATGAAACCGTTCCGAGCACCACTTGAAAGCTCAAACGCTCGCTAATCTGAGAAACTCCGAATCTGTGTTCTTCGATAACAGGAATAACTCTTTTCCCAACCATATTTGTGGACGAATTGTCGCCAATTTAGTCTCTAAAGAAGATCAGATAGTAGATCAGACAGATAGTAGATCAGACGAGTTTTCTTTTTTGTTTTTTTTTTTCTTTTCACTCGAGAAGAGGTAAAAATTTCTTTCGTACAAATTCTATAAACTCTTCGAACAAGTTTCAGTTTTTTCAACTCGAAGAAATCACGCTCGCCAATTTTTTTCTAATTCGTATCGATCTCACGTTGGACAGAGAATCGTGCCACGATCAGCTTTCGCTCGACGAAAGGACCAAAGCTATAGAAGCGACGACAGATCGAGGAATGTCCATTCATTTCGATGAAACACGTGACGGCCGACGAAGTCCGCGATCGTCGGCCATTTATTTGTTTCAGTAACTTCACAACAATAAAAACATAGTATATATATATATAATATATAATATATTCTCCCATATTTATATTTATATTTTTATATTCAATATTTATAATATCATTTATATTTAAATATTTTTTTTCCTCGTATAGAACTATTTAACCCTCGATATAAATACCCTGAAATCTACACTCTCGCATTCTATATAAAACCGAATTCGTCCGAAACGAGTCCCCTCGATTGTTTTCCATTCTCCTCCGTTTCTTATATTTTTACAGATCCCTTTCTCTCGTCCGTAGTCTTTCCTTTTCCCTTTTCTCGCAGTTCCTTCAATTTCTCTCTTTGCCATCTTCGTTCCCCCTACGTGAAAAAATTGTTAAACCTACTATTTACAGAAAAACTCGCCACCTTTAATTCCTTTTCGCTTCTCTCTCGTTTCTCCTTTCTCTCTCTCTCTTTCTCACCATGTTCGTCCGGCGATTACGAGGATGAAAATGACACAACGAGCCGTGTTCTTTTGATTCTTTTTCTAGCTAGAGACGTGATGGGGGATGATGTTCGAACTCTTTTGGTTCCGTGAGCTTTCAATCGATTTCCTTGGAGTTTCGAGTGTCTTATATTATTAGCAACAGCGATTTGGGGTGGTAGGTTGGCATGGTTTGTCGAGACATCTCGATGCTTTTCGCGACTCTGTCTCTAAACTTAGAGTGTTGTTTCCAATCGCGGGGAGAGGATAGAATTTGTAGAGCTCTAAATTGTCTGGCAATTGAAAAGCTGCTATCTTGGAACTGACTAGAGTAATAAATTAATCGAGACTAAAATAATTCTGTATTTTGTATAGATTATGAACTATATCGATATTTCGTGCCCAGATAAAGCTTGTTTTACGTAAGAAACAAAATTTTAAATTACATCTAAGGTTAATTAAAATTTACAATATCAATAATCTCGGCAAAATCTTAAATCTTAAATTAATTCCTAATTACATTCTTCATTACACGTAAGAATTGATTCAATTTAACTGGGCTGGACTAAAATTAATTTCCAAAATCACGATCAAACTAAACTGTATCACAAAATCATGACAGTCAGGGATATCACAAAATTCAAAAACGAAATCTATAATTCTATAGAAAGAATTTTGAAAGTTCCACGTTATTAAACAACGTTATAATTTTTAACCTATCTACGGTACAATAATAAATATCATGCAACGCAATATGCAATAAATTAGGCTTAGACAAAGACAAGAAAAGCGTCGAAATGCCTCAATTAGTACAAAAATCTGCCCAGACACTGGCAACCCACTCCAATTGTAGAGAAAATTCTCATTCTTTTATCTACCTAATAGTTTACAAGTTTTATAGCCAACATCGAATTGTCCTCGTGTATTTATATATTTATATTTATATATATATATTTATATATGTATACATAACGTATGTATAATATTTATAGTATTTATATTCCGTATTTATATTCGTATTTATAGTATGTATATCCGACTGTCCAAGTGTTATGTATATGCGAATCGACTAAATTTGCGCGGTCGTAGTGCTGTCCCTCTTCTCATCATTATCCTCTGCTGTTTGTGCTCGCATAGTAATTGGCAGGCCGTTAATTAAAATAACTCCAGGTGAAAAATATCTGTATCTCGTCTCGAGAGTCTGCATTCTATTTTCTTTTTTTATTTCTCTCTCTCTCTAGCGTCTTTCTTTTTAAAGTAATTTTTTTCTCCTTTTGTTTTGGTATCAGATTTTCTCTTTCTTTCTTTTTCTTTTTTTTTTACTTTGTTCGTTGATCTGCTTTTGGTAGGAAGTTGATGACCTAATTGATTATCTAGCGCCACCTCTAGCAGCTTCGTACAGTTCCCCTTGCTCGAATTCTCTCGATTCATCTCGATATGTCGTGGTTCTCTTTGGCAATTCAACGAAAATTCACATGAACAAGTCGCAAAGTGCAAAAATTTCCTCTGATGTATTTCTTTCTTTCCACGAGAGACTACTTCAATCCTTCAAGTAAATTTACCTAAAGGAAATGTATCTTTCTCACAATCCACCCTCATTTATTTTCATCGCTTTTGAAACCTTTCTTAAAATTGAAAATCATTCATTTCATTAACACCTGATTAATTGTTGTTGAGCGACAGACAACGATATTACACTTTGGATTAATATTGTAATACTTGAATTACGGTTTCACGTAACTTCGAGGTTTTCTAATTTTGAACGAAATGAAAGAGACCGCAACCCAACGATACCAATCGAGGGTTAAGACACAAAAATCAATTTAAACCACCTCAGAACAGTGTCACATTGGCTTTCGACGCGTCTTACGATCCAACGTCGTCCGATCGTTCTTATTTCGGTGGTGGTGAGTCACGAGTGAAAGCCAAGATGTGGCCAAAACTTCAAGAAAACCAGACGGAAGAAACCGCGGAAAAAGAGACAAGTCCATTTGCATTTTGTCGCAATTTATGATGAACGTCATAACCGCGGACATTTATGCGAATTCAAATAATAATGCGATATAACAACGTGTAATCAACAGAGATTTTTAAGAAAATCGGAACTAGGTAGAAAATCCAAATATACTGCATTTTCAAATTTCCCGCAAACGCATGAAAAATCCGCAGTCCAATGACAGTAGATAATAAAGAGAAGAAACAATTGTTCTCAGACGTTGGTATTTTCCTTTCTTTGTTATTTCCCCGCCTCTTCGTTACTCTTAAATTTTTACACTCGTGTACACGCGTTCGCATACACGCACACGAACAGGAAAATTCTCTCTCTCTCTCTCTCTCTCTCTCGTTCTTTTTTTACCCGAGTGCAGTGGAACTTTGATTAAAACGCGTATAATTACAGCTGAAACGTTCCTGTTCCGAGCAAATACACGTTTTCTCTTCGAACTGGAGAACAGCCACCACTCTGAACATGGCAGACACGTCGTGGACCTAAATAAGTGCTATAAGTTTCTCTCTTTCTCTCTCTCTCTCTTTCACACACACATACACACACTCGTTATTCCTCCTCGTTTCTTTTCTTCTCTTTTCTCCTTCTTCTCGTTTTACTATTCTGGCTCTTTCTCACTCGCAGACACGTGGGCTAGTATCACCACTCAGAAAGCACACAGTATTGGCCCCAGCACCCTTAGTATTCATTTTTATTTTTATTTTCATTTTCATTTGTTCGTTTCGTTTCGTTTCGTTTTTTTTCACTAGTTGAGATTTTTTTGGAATTCCTGTCCGTTTTTTTTTTTTTTATGTTCGTGCTTCCTTTTAAAATGTTCCCCCTCCGCGATGCAATTGGCCAGGGAGATCTCTAATTAGCGGTGTTAACCGGAGAGGGTGAAGAATTGGGAAATTTCAAGATCGTTGATCCTTGGAATACAAAAAAAAATTGGGCGTATCGTCGCGAGAAATTCATTGAAATGAAACAGATATTTAGAGATAAAGGGCTAATAATTATTAATAACTATTTTCTCAGTTTATAAACAATACAGTATGAATAACCCAACAATAGAAGTACAAAATCTACAAATAAACGAAACTATCGACAAAAGGAAAGAAAAAAATTAAAAAAAAAATCTTCCAGGATCCAATCACCGAAATCAGCCCATGAAAAAGACTGTAAAATACTCGCCTGTAAAAGGGTCCAATTCTCCCTGATCCTTGAAAGAAGACAATATATACCTCCAGAAGCAGCTACTCCAATGAAACGCAAGCCTCCTTACAAGTTGAATTTTTATACACATGTCCCTATGTACATCGAAAGTCTGATCTAACGATCCGCCATGTTCCAAGCTATGACTAGGTTCTCTATCGAAACTTCTCTCCATTTCTCTCTCTCTCTCTCTCTCTCTCTCTCTCTTTCTCTCTCTCTCCTCTCCAATTTCTCTCTTCTCCGCACGACTCGCACCCACGGACACTTACACGCTACTTATGCTTGATTAGTTAGGTTACTTTCTCCCGATACGACGTTCTCACACGGGATCCTTCTGGATCATCATCTTCTTCTTTTCTTCCCTTAATCGTTCCGCTTAATATATATATATATACTTTGTATTTATATATATATATTTTTCAATTTTGTATTTATATATTTATATTTATATTTATATAGAGACTTCTTTTGTTGCGGTTGTTGTTGTTGTTGTTGTTGTTGTTGTTGTTGTTGTTGTCGCTGTTGTTGTTTCGTAGTTAGTGGTGCCGACGACTCGAGTTTTGTGTAGGTTGGTGCTACACGGCCGTCACGTGGCCTAGTTTCTTCACTCAGTGGTATCACCTCGCGATATACCTGCCGAACAAGGTGCCCAGCACCGCAACGATGTAAACCGAGGCGGAAATCCGGAAAGTCCACGATGTGGCCGTCGAGATGTCGCCGCATTGCGCTGAAAAAGTAAACGTGACAAAATTTCTCACCAGACGTGACGAAACACCATCATTCTCTAGAACTCTAACTCGTGGCGGTTCGTGCGGTTAATAAAACAAATTAGTAGGAAAGATGAAATCGAAGTTGGCCGAGGACAAATTGGAAAAAAACAATTACAACGCTTGAAGAGTTAATCCTTTTAATTCCTCAATTTTTTGATCTACCAGTTGTCAAATTTTTTAATTCGCATTCAACCTACTAATCTCTAGTTACTTAATCTTCTGATCTACCAATTTCAAAGTGTCACAATTTAAAAGATTTCTTTTCTTTTTGCAATAGCTCCAATTTCTAATTGTTGAATCTGTCTATCTATCAATAGTATCATTCGGTCGGTCAATTTCACCTAGAAATCCCCGGAATGTCAACCGAATTGTCTCCGTCAATGTCGGGTTCAGATCGTACGTCCAGTCACTAGAACTCGATTCGAATTGAAAGATAAATCGAATCAGCTGTTTAATTAGCACGGAGAGAGTGACGGTATTATTCGGACAGTACGATCAGTGTCAGAGATGAGACGCGTGATAATCAAGAACGTCGCTGACAATGTTCACCGTACGACGTGAGGTTGATCCGGCATGATACTAGACGATCGTGGCGAGTCTACGGACAGGAAACAAGATGAGCCGTCACCGGAAGCTTGTAAACTCCCAACCGCGTATGCCCGCGAATGATATTCCAATTCTTTAACTTTTCATTCTCCAAGTTTTGAGTTTTTTTTATATTTTTCCCGAGTTCAGACTTTTAATTCCATTCAGACATTTAATTTTTCAAATATCTAACTCCAAATTTTCCTAACTCTCCAAGTTTCCCCCCGAGTTCAGACTTTTAATTCTATTAAGACATCTAATTTGTTAATTTTTCAGCAGTCCTAGTTTAAAATGCCCGACTCTAAATTTCCATAATTTTTCAATTTTCTACTTTTCAGGTACCCAATTTTTTAAAATGTCTAATTTGTCTGACATCCCAAGCAATTTCACCGATCCAATTTAAAACACCCCGATACTAAATTCTCCAAATTTTTCAAGTTTCCAATTTCTTCTATTTTTCTCCAAGTTCAGGTCCCTAATTTTTCAAAGTATTTTCTTTCGAAACACCCGATTTGCTAAATTTTTCGAATCGACAATGCTCACCATAGGACGTGAGGTTGACCTGCCACGATACCACATGACGATGAGAGGCCCTCGGACAGGAAGCAAGATGTCCCGTCACCGAGAGCTCGCGACTTCCTGTCGCCGCTGCGGATGCACTGTAAACGAGACAGTATCGTCCCTTCTCGGTGCTCGCCACCAAATAGGCTGTGTCATTTTCGATCCAGGTTCCGTGACATGAATATTCTGAAAACACAACAAACAAACAAACGAAAAAAAAAAAAATTATTTCAAACATCAGTTGATCGAAAATATTATTCACTAAACGTATCGCTCTACTCTCCCATTGTCAACTTCTTTAAATTTTAAACGAATTATGAAGTTTAGTTTGCCGAAATCTCGTCAAGCAACCGTGTAATTGAAATTAATTCAAAGTCCCTCGCTCAATTATAAATAAATCCTGCTGGTGAGAAAAAAGAGTCACGAGCGAGGGCGAACGAGAAATGAAAAACGATGGAGCAAATGGTTAGAGCACAGAAATATTACGTCGATCGGTAATGTGACCTCATTATCGACAATCGAAGTATAAAAGCACGATTTCCGAGTAGTTTATCGGTTTCGAGCTTAGCTGCTCGAGCAGAGAGAGAGAGAGAGAGAGAGAGAAAGGATCCTCGCAGCAACGGAGGAACGTTTATCGTTCTAACGAAAGTACTGAATGGGTAATCACCCATGCAACGATTTTAAGTGTTCGATTTCGTTCACCTTAAGGGTCGTTTCACAACCGACTTACAAGCTCGACTAGACGACGGCAGCGGAGGGAAGGTGGAATGAAAGCGGCGGGAAGGTAGGACGCGGGGCGAGGTAAAAATGGGAGCGATTGAAACGAGCCACCGTAAAAGAACGAGCAGGTTTAACGTTCGTGAAAAGAGAATTCAATTATTCTCGACGACTAACGCCGGGCAAAGACCGTTCAATTATGGCCAAATATGTGTAATTAGAATTCCTCCGATGTTATTAAATTTCTTTTCTCGGCACTCGAACGTCGTCCACCATCAATGGCAGGAGGACCTGAGATTGTTTCGAGAAACTGTACGTACACGGATTGATTGTTGCTCGAATAGAATACTAAAAATTACACGTGAAAGATTTACGCGATGAAAATTTCCAATCACAATAACTTTCGATTGGGAATCGATTGTTAGCGAACGTTGATATATTTATCGCGCGAGGCAGTTGAGAAAGAGCGGCAACGAGATTCGTGAAATATTCTGTCAGCTAACAGCGTGGATGTATGTACTATTATATTTCGGAAAATTGACAAAGTGTCTGGAATTGTTTCGTCCGACTACGAATTAACTTGGACGACGACGGTGTGGGGGCGAATCGTTTCAAGTAATCCTTGAAAAATGGTCCTCGAGAGCGTTGGATGTTCGACAGGAAGAGACGCGGCTTTTAGAGAAGGGAAAAGGTGGAGTTCCTCTCTCTCTCTCTCTCTCTCTCTTTCTCTCTCTCTGTCTGTCTGTGTGTTTGGAGTTTCGACGAAGGCGTGCGAACGGGCATGAAATAAACGAAAGCCGTAAATCGCTTCGACACGTCGATATCTGGCGTGTTGTCTCGGCCCGATACCTTATCGAGGCTGCAAGATAGAAAGATGAGAATTTACAGCGTCCGCGCGACAGTTCGCGCCGGCTGAAAACGGAAATAAACAACAGACGGGGGGGCGGGGGTGGAGAGTGGGAGGGAGACGACAGAAAGGAGCTGCGCCTTTCGCCAAATATGCTTTCAAAAGGGATAAAAATCGGAGATGTCGTTCCCGCCTCTGATCCACAAATACCGATAAATTCTCTGTTCGATTGCTTCTTTGCATTTAAACGACGTTCGAAAATTGTTTCTCCCGCTCTTCTTTTTTTATCCGTTTCCTTTCCTTAGGAATCAAATAGGTCCGAAAACACGAATTTCGAAAGAATTTTTTTTTTACCGATAGATCATACGAAATGCCATTGAAAATGTATTTGATATGTCGTTGCAACATCGTTGTTTCTCTTGTTCGGAAAACAAAATTGTTTTACAATTTTTCTTATATTATATTTTCTGAGGAAAATTTGCCATTTTGACAGAATCTACTATTTAATTTGAATTAATGAATTGTTAAAATATTCAACTGTTTTATATTTTCGACACGTTGGAATCTATGATGTGAATAAAGATCAGATTCGTTTACTTTTTTAATACATTTTTACATTTTTACGTACACAGAAAGAAACTAAAAGAATCCAGATAAAAATATGTCTCATCTAAATAAGACGTTCGGACATTCATTTTTGTACTTTGAAATTCCTCACAGATGTATAAAAAAATCTGTACTTGCTACAGTAAAGAATTCCAACTGAAACTGAACAATAATAAACGCATTGAAAAAATAACTATAAACTAACACAGAAGAAAAAGGAGAATAGAAATGAATGGGAACTGGAACGGTGTCTTTTAACAGTTAACAAACTAGTCCAACTTTTATTTTATTAAAACTTCCAAACCATCGACAGCAGATACACGAGACAGACTGATCGCCTCCGCAGTTCTCCAATTACGAAACTAGCGCATTACAATCCAGAGCGCATTACTATCTCCCAAGTTCCGGATGCCTAATCGAACTCGAATCCACCGACAAGAATATCAATCTACTACCCTGAAAATATATAATCTTCCTCAGTCGATAAACCCTCGACGAAGATCAGAGATCGCGACGGAACGATTACATCAGCCTTGGCATCGCGATTCTTAATCCACTGGTTGAGGGGGGGGAGAGGAGTCGCAGCGGTATCAGGAATTATTTTAGCGTGGAGGAGAACGTTGACATAACCGAGGATTTAGCCAGTCGAGCCTGGTGTCTTACGGCCGTCGACAAGGGGATTGCGTTCCAGACTTGCAGCGCCGCCGCCCTCTGTCGGCGCGGAACGCGAATTGGTCATTAAGACTTCGTACAAACAGCGATCTTAGCTCGCAGACCCGGGGAGAACATCTCGAAACGTCTCTAGCCAGGCTTCTGGCAACGATCGTTAATCACATCTATTTCCGTGGCAGTGTTTGCCCGTGTTCGGATTAGAATTCTGCCCGTGGGCTGGAACTCTCCGCCGTGGAATTTTATTTTATTTCGACGTTGGACGTTCGTTCGCGACGGTCTAACACGTTGGGCTGGTAATTGGAAATTTTAGATAAAGAGAACGAAGATGAGATCGATCAGAGTGTTGGAAAATTTGTAACAAGTTATTTATCTAGAAGTGTTAATCTAGCCAGACTAGGTTTCCAATTTCTGAATTAAAAAAGGACGTGTAATTAATCCCATCGATTCGTCGAACACGAAAAATTCGTTGGCTCCACTAAATCCAGTTCCATCATCGTTCGAATCAAGTAAGACTTTCGTCAGCGACAGTCGCTGAAAAGACCGGCCCTATCTGGAAGCAAGAGCCCAGCCAAAAGCTCCCGGAAGCCTGCAGCAGCAATAGCAGTAGCAGTAGCAGCAGCAGCAGCAGCTACTATCTTTCAACGCGAGCGGATCCGCGCGCACAGGCACGCGCCATAAACACGTACAGCCGAATAAAGCTACAAACTTTGCACATAAGCAAGGGTGCAGCCACGGCAACCGTCACGCCGCTGACTTCTCCGCAAACTAACTATCACCACTTGCGATAACTTCACTCCCACTACCTGCTGGGAGGGAAGTGGGAAGAGGCCCGAGGTAAATGGAGAAGCGACGGAGATGCGTCTCTTCTCGATGGGGGGATAACTTGGCCCTGGTGCGGGTAATCCGATAAGATGTTCCTGTTGGGGCTGACTCCACCCTTCGAGGATTCACTCGACGACCCCCCCGTGGCGATGCTCCCCGCGAGCACAGCCGATTTCAATGGAGCCGAGAGATACAGGTAAGACGGATGACAATCGAGACATCGAGTGTCTACGAAAAGTAGTCCCTTATAATCGTAATTTTCCGAGAGGCACTTTCCAGAGGATTTGGAGAAACGCAGGCAAGTTTGGAGAGGCAAGTGGAGGCAATTTTGTTTGATAATTTTAATATCTAGAACGATATTAACAATTTCTTATTCAACTCGAATTATATATATATATATAATTTATTTTATCAATAGAATTATTATTAAAGTTAATTTACTTTTATGAAGATAAATTAATAAATTTTTGTATAATAAATTTTTGTATAATGCTAATGATAATAGCTATAGATTATAACTATATATTATTTTCTATAATAACGATAATATAACTATATATTAATTAGATATTATAGGTGTTATATATATTAATTAGATATTATAGAAATTATATATAATAACGATAATATAACTATATATTAATTATATATTATAGATATTATATATAATAACGGTAATATAACTATATATTAATTAGATATTATAGATATTATATATAGTTATTATAGATAATAACTATAGATATAACTATATATTATTTTCAAGAAAAATTATTTTTAACTTAAAACTTGAAGAATTTAAACTAAACTTGCTCGACTAGGATCCCATTTACGATAGGCTGTAGTAATATCACAAAATGGAACAGAATTTGAAATTCGAAATTCGACAGCCAAAATTCTCAGACGGTTTACCAGTCGTTTCGTCAGAAATTTTTATGCCAATGATAATAACTATAGATTATAACTATATATTATTTTCTATAATAACGATAATATAACTATATATTAATTAGATATTATAGATATTATATATAGTTATCATAGACAATAACTATAGATATAACTATATATTATTTTCAAGAAAAATTATTTTTAACTTAAAACTTGAAGAATTTAAACTAAACTTGCTCGACTAGGATCCCATTTATGATAGACTGTAGTAATATCACAAAATGGAACAGAATTTGAAATTCGAAATTCGACAGCCAAAATTCTCAGACGGTTTACTAGTCGTTTCGTCAGAAATTTTTATTCCAATGATAATAACTATAGATTATAACTATATATTATTTTCTGTAATAACGATAATATAACTATATATTAATTAGATATTATAGATATTATATATAGTTATTATAGACAATAACTATAGATATAACTATATATTATTTTCAAGAAAAATTATTTTTAACTTAAAACTTGAAGAATTTAAACTAAACTTGCTCGACTAGGATCCCATTTACGATAGGCTGTAGTAATATCACAAAATGGAACAGAATTTGAAATTCGAAATTCGACAGCCAAAATTCTCAGACGGTTTACTAGTCGTTTCGTCAGAAATTTTTATTCCAATGATAATAACTATAGATTATAACTATATATTATTTTCTGTAATAACGATAATATAACTATATATTAATTAGATATTATAGATATTATATATAGTTATTATAGACAATAACTATAGATATAACTATATATTATTTTCAAGAAAAATTATTTTTAACTTAAAACTTGAAGAATTTAAACTAAACTTGCTCGACTAGGATCCCATTTACGATAGGCTGTAGTAATATCACAAAATGGAACAGAATTTGAAATTCGAAATTCGACAGCCAAAATTCTCAGACGGTTTACCAGTCGTTTCGTCGGGCGTCAGAAACTTTTATACCTCTGTTCTCCTTGTTTCGGAAATATGTGGGAAATACAGGGAAACGACACAGCGTCGTCTCGTTCCAACGTCGAGGAACATTAATCACTCGATAGTATTAACTTACAACCTTTTCGTTTCCCGGTTCAAAGAAACCGACGAAAGAATACGGAGGAACTAAACAGGAAGTTTATAATGGAAATTTAAAACTGACGAATGACAGCGTTTCGTGGAATTAATGAATATTTAAGGTTAGGTTTTTCTTTCGGCGCGAGGGGAGGTTAGCTCGCAACTCCGTACTTTAAAAGTGATCTTTCTTGTGGATAAATTTGAAGATTAAATGAATTTTTAAAGTGGTTTGGTTATTTTAGCGAGCGAATAAAGACGGGAGAGTTGTCTGATTTAATTGGAATCTGAATTTAAAGTCTCCGCTGAAAATAATTCAATGGCGTAGAATTCACGTGTGACGTGACATGATTACACAACTATAGATTGATGGCTTGGTGTTTTCAATTAATTACGAGTTGATACCAGGAATAAAATTACTTCGAAATCGTTAAATTGTTACATAGAATTGGATGAAACAGATATTAGGACCATTAAGTTTGTAATTTTTAAATGAGTTTAATACACAAATCTTTTAAACAGACAGAAATCCGATGTTTTCGAATAGAAATAACCAATTCAATGAAACATTTCGTACCTATTGCAATATGAACATCTGAGATATACGAGGGTCGGACAGATGAAAACCTAACTTATCGTCTGATCAAGATCTAACCTAGTTTAACCTAAATACGATCTAACTTGTCACTCAACCTGCCAATTTTGGTCTAACCTGACTTACCCTAGATCTACAAGCCTGAAATCTACGCTTAGTCGACCCAAAATTCGTAGTTACGTCATAAGAAAAGCCCGACTTGTTATTAAAACCGCTATTAAACGATTCAAAGGCCAAATGAAAGATCAATAGAATCTCAAGTAGAGTCAAAGTCAATAAGAAATTCGTTCGAATTTTACTTTTAAAGTTCTCTTACCCGCTGGTGTTTCGTCGCTGCACGACGTGGCGAACTCCATACGATCCGGTGTCTTGCAACCGATATCCAATCGGCGAACACTCCCGTAGCGGCATCGTCCTGGATTAGGTGTCGACGTGACCCTGACGTCTTGAACCTCGGCAGCGTTCGCCATCGGTTCACCATCCACGCCCAATATGTCCTCCGCTTTGTCACTGTTGTGATTGTGCAGCACCGACACGATTTCATAGCGGCCGAGGTTTGGGCACTGCCTGGTAATCGGGTCTGGGGCTGGAAAGAAAAATGAAAACACCCGTAGAACACAACATTTGCTGAATAAAGCGAAATATAGTTTTCTTTGAGCATTTCACTTTTATCAACGGAAGATAAAGTTTATTAAAGGAACTTTTATTGAAGTTCATTGATATATCTGAGGGTTAAAAATACCAGGACAAAGAAAGAGAGAGAGAGAGAGAGAGAGAGAGAGAGAGAGAGAGAGAGAGAGAGAGAGATCTAGATTCCCCTAATTGACAGATCGAACGTTGTAATTGTGTAGCGCGAAAAATCGCGTTGCTCGCGATCGCAGTTTCTCGTTTTGCTGAGCTCGAGGGAAAAAAAAAAAAAAAGGAAAAAATGCCGACTGCTAGAATTAAAAGCGATATTTCACTGTCGAAACTTGCCAGAGAAAAAATAATAAAACAAAATGAAAAAGAATAGACAAAATGGAAGAGAGAGAGAGAGAGAGAGAGAGAGAGAGAGGGAGAGAAAGGGGATAGAAACAAAAGGGGACTAGAAAGGATATAAAATATGACAGTGAACGCGGGAAGATAGCGCATTCCCAATGGAGCACTCCTGAAACACGATGAAATTATTTCGCGAGAATTCGTGCTACTCTGCTTCTATCCTTTACACGTGTATCGATAAATAACGTCTTAACAATGGCCAGCAATGTATCTGGCCGCGATGAATGTCTCTCCTCTCTCTCTCTCTCTCTCTCTCTCTCTGAAATTGCTAGATAATCGCACGGTTTGCATGGGACAAATTGACAAATTCCATATTTCCCATTTCTCTGTTGTAAAATTGGCGAAATTTAATTTAATACCATTAACGCAAACGAGATTTCTACTTTGTTTGAATTGAGTTTCCCGTGTTTTTCTCACTTTGCAGCAAACTAGAACGTTTAACGATTCAAATCGATCAGATGTTTTTTCAATTCATCATTGATCCACCGTGGCGAATTCGAAAGTTCAACGCTTTTGTCTCCGAAATTTTTAGTACCATTTCACTGCAGGAGCGGAGAAATTTAATATTTTCACTCAGCTTCAATTGCTACGAGGAATACGTAATAAAAGTTAAGCTAAGAGCGAAAGAACAAACGCAAGGTAAACACAGGAGTTTTCAGGAGTAATTTTGGGGACGGAAGTCCAGACGCCGGTTGAATGGCGTCGCGATAAATTCCGCGCCGCCGGAACGACCCCTGTCTTCGTCACTGTTATGGAATCGCGTAATCGGCTTAAACAGAAACTGTGCTGCCTTCTCGTCGAGGGCTGAGTTTACGACGGATATTCGGCATATGATCCTTTCGCGAGATCGTAAAGGAGTCGCCAGCGAATCGATTCTTCAGCCCTCGTTGTTCGCCACTTCCTCTTCCCGTCTCGACGATGTTTGCGTCTACGATTCCTATTCTTCCGCGCGGAGACGACTTTAGGAGCTGTCTTGGCTGATTCCGCCGGAAATGAACGAACAGACTTCTGTAGACCAACTTGTTTTCCCAACTCTGTCTCCCAAAGATACTTCGCCCAAAATTTCCACGGAACTTTTTTAAACACTCGGCTCGACTTTTTCTTCCACGCGTTTTATTTTTCACATATTTAAACAGAAATTGCAATTAGTTATTACAATAATATAATATTATTATTTTTGGTATTTAGTTAATTATTATTTTATTATTAATATTTGTATGTATTAGCATCAGTATTAGTATTAGTATTAATATTAGTATGTATATTGGTGTTGGTATTTTTTAGTATTAGTACTTGATAACTTGTAGTTAACGAGTAATTAGTATGATACTTGTGTTACTTTATATTTATTAGTATTGGTATTAGTATTTTTTAGTTTTGGTATTAGTATTTTTTAGTATTAATATTTTTTGGTATTAGTATTTTTTAGTATTAGTACTTGATAACTTGTAGTTAACGAGTAATTAATATGATACCTGTGTTACTTTATATTTATTAGTATTGGTATTAGTATTTTTTAGTATCAGTACTTGATAACTTGTAGTTAACGAGTACTTAGTTAATGTGATACTTGTGTTACTTTATATACTCGATATAATAAATACAAATAATTATTATTCATTAGTGGAAATATTAACGAGGCAGCTATATACTTCTGTCGGAATCTTTCAAGTATAGCAGACGGAAGGAAAATTACGATTGTAAGGAGAAAGAAATTTTGAAAATGGAATCGTAAAATTTTCGTTTCAATCGCCCCTGAGTCGCTCCATTCGACTAGACTCGAAATCTATTGGCGAAGAAGCGTCGAAAAGCAATTCGGTTAAACGAAGGGAGGCGTTCACGCGACCATGTGTTAATAAATGATCGTAATTGACTTACTAATGAACGTCGTGTACGGCGTCGAGTGGGAGTTGAACGTACTCGAGTTGCACACGTCGTCTGGTTGTTGGCTCCATTCCGACAGTTGCAGCTCTATTATGTGGCTATCCCTTCTGTGAAACATCAGGCACACGTAGCCATTCGTACTGCAAAGGAAAACGATAGTCTTTGGTTAGTACAATGTTATACATACTCTCGTCCGAGCGCGAAGAAACAGAGTTCGGATTCCACACGTGTACCATACGTTCGAGAGAAATTTTATATATGCGGTGCTCTGATTAAAATGTTACGCAACTTTTTAACAGAAAAAAGTAACGAGTATCAAAATTCTGAAATCTAGTCCGCACCTAGTAACTCATCTCAAACAGAATCTTCCTAACCCAATAATTTAGGTAAGAATCTCCTTTCTGGATAAAACACAATCGCTATTTAAACCAGAGCAGCCGGGGAGAGCTGGCTCGGGATAAAATTTAGCAACTCGCGAGGGGAAATTAAAAAAAAGGAAAAGCTGGGGGAAAATGCTCGACTACCAGTGCCACACACAATATCGTCGTAATAAAATTACAAGTTAATACAACCCTGGAGGCCGCGAAACCGTGGGAAGAGGGGGAAAGGAGCGGGGATTGGAGGGGGGGAGCGGGTTGTTTCATGAAAACGAGACACGTCTAATAATCGAGCCAGTAAGCCGTAAAAGCTGGCGATGGTCGGCAAAGAGGAAAAAAAAAAAGGGACGAAAAGAAAAGAATGGCCAGGGGTTGGGAAAACAAGGGTAAAGGGCCTTAAATCTTCGGTCGCTTCCGTGGTTCGGCCAGGATTAAGATTTTATTTTATCAGAACCGGGGTTTCTTAACGGGAGAGGGGGGGGGGGGCTGCGTTAACTTTCAGCGTAATCCCTTTACGACTGGACCTCCTTCTTTTACGACAAAATGGTGAAATCTCTGCTTCCAGCGAGACAACGTGCGCGTTTCGATCGTTTACTCGTTTATTTTGCCTTTGTTCGGAGCTGCAAAAATTTGGCTACTAAATAGTATTAATTTTTCAGAACAGAGTAGAATCGAGAAATATAATTTCGCAGTTCTCGATAATCGTCAGAGCAAAGGTGAATTTTTTTAAAGAGCTCCAGTGGAAGAAGAAGAGAGAAAAGGCAATTTAATTAATCGAGTTGCTAAGACGGCTATTTACATTCTAGCATTCTGGAGTGTATCCAGGCGAGTCACGAACGACGTTACCGCTCCCGAGGGTGCAATGGCGGCTTCTTACGGGCTTGTATACATTTTCAAGCCTCTTCTCGAGGAGCAGGCACGAATGTAACGGAGTATAATCCTACTTCTGCCACCTTTCGCCGCTGCATATTGCACTCTTCCCTCTCAGGAGAACCTTCCGTTTCAAACAGTTTGATTTTGGAAAATGGCATCATTCATCGGCAGCCATGTTCGACATTTAGGTTAGGTTCGATAAAAAACATTTTTCGTGAAATGGTTCACGAAAGTGAAGCAATTATTCTTGCGGCATTTCGTCCGGAGAAATTGAAGCAATTAAAAGTAATTTGAATGAAGGAAAAAGAGATTTTTCTGGGGATCGCAAAATACGTTGGCAGTTAATAACACTTACGCTGTTTGAATTAATTAACTTCGGTTATTTTGAGTAGCTATCATTAACAACAAAGTTTCAATCACTGGGAATTACAATCCACCAACTCCCTCCCTTGTCTTCATCCCTTACTCGACCTAGTAATCAAATTTGTCTGTAGGTTAAAAAAGGTCCAGGGGAGCCGAAGGAAGGTTAGTCCCTCTCAGTACTAATGAGATACTTGATGAATTATGTGATAATTATCATTTGTGATCTCGAAAAGTTTGATGGAAAATGAATTTCTGTTTCAATTCAATCGTGGAAATTTAATTTTTTCAGAAATCTAATTACTATAAATTATTATTACTATAGATGTTTTAAGAATGTTGGTTGACTGTATTATAGAAATTATATTTGGTTACGAGCAACCACTCTGACGATGAAAATTTTATTCTTGGTTAATTTTGAACAACATCGTCGTCAGTTTTTAACAACGTTACAGATAATTCATAGCTAGTATTAATAACGTCACTGGTGATTAATATATATTACTAGTAACGTGGATAATTAGTATCTGGTTAGTTACTAGTAAGTAATAGTAAGTAATATATATATAATAAGTACTAGTAAGTAATATATATAATACTAGTTAGTACTATATATATAATATATATAACAAGTATTAGTAAGTAGTATAGTAAGTACTAGTAAGTAATATATATAATACTAGTTAGTAATACTACTAGTAAGTAATATATATAACACTAGTTAGTAATACTACTAGTAAGTAATATATATAATACTAGTTAGTACTAGTGGTAATATATATATTACTAGTAACATGGATGATTAATCTGGTAACATATTGTTATTAGATGCCATTTAATACTAATTCTTGCACACAGTTTCTAAAATTCATCGTCATCATTACTGATTATCATTGGTGATCTCGTAAAAATTTTATTATCCTCGAAACACAACGAAGAGCCGAGTAAATCCTGCTAAATCAGGAATAATCGAATCTTGTACGATTCTTCCAGGTGGTTGAGCGGAAAGGTTGGGCAGCCGATCGCTGGCCAATATTATTTTTCATAAATCTCTCCGGGGCGCATTTACGCGGCTACAACCCCTCTAATCTCCTCTCTCGCGGCCGTTGTTTGTTATCATTATTCCCTTGCGGGGCGAGTTTTTGCGCGTGCCGCCCCACCCCCCACCCCTCCACTCGCGAGATTTATTTCGCTGCTTACAATTAGTTTCTCAGTCTGGCCTGGAAATGCATCGCGATGCTGCCACGACGCGCCGCCCGTGATTTAACAAGCCGCGTTCCCAACGATACTTGCGCCTCGCGCCAGCTTAAACGGGAATTTACGACGCAGCTCGCTTGTCGAAACAGAAACACGGTCAAGACGGTGATATCGCGACAGATACGAAGATTCATGCAGCATGCATATTCCAACGCTGATTCTCGCACTATATAATAATAACGATAATAACGTAGAAATGAACGAAAAATTAATTTCGAACTAAGTATTGATAATTCTGAAATATTGAAAACTTGCCGTTTTCTTCTCCTTCTTTTTTTTTTTTTTTAAGCAAAAATTTTCTTCTTTCAAATAAATGTTAACAGATAGATAAAAGAAATCTGTGAATTAGTATGGAGTGAAAATTTTTCTCCCCTTCCGTGATAACACTCTCTCGATCGAGCAATTCCCATAAAGAACCCACTCTCACCGATCGTGGCAACAACGACTCCAATAATTTTCTTTTTTTTTTTTTCCACCCTCGCCACCGCGAGAGCCTCGTAAAAATCAGGTAAAAATGGCCGGCGAATTCAATCGAAAAACGTCAGGCAAAAATGAAATAAAATTCCCTCCAGTCACATATTGTCCTTATTCCGGCGGATCTTCAAGGATGACTACCAGATGCAGAGAATCGTCCGCGTTTCTTCCTCCTCTATCGTGGCATCTCCCAGTTTCCAATCTAATTTATGTCTGGTCGTTAGACGATTCAATGAAAGGAGTACGCTTATGCGGCCAATTTGACGTGCACCCTTTCCACCTGAGGGCCTTCCACCCTTTCAACCGCCTATTCTCCGGTCTCGCATTTCCACCAGATGCTCCTCTTCCCACGAGTTCTCCCGTTTTCTCCTGGCTCTCTTTTCCTTGTAGTCTTCTATTTTCAGTCCGAAGATTTTTGTAACGTTACAATTTTTAATTCGGGATTTTGCATCGTGAAATGGTACAGGTGTACGGAGTTGTTTTTTAAGTTTAATCTCGGGAGAGGAAGGGAAAAAGAGAGAGAGTCTCGTTTGCATTTCAAAAATAGAAACAGAAAAGAACGGGAGAATGAAAAGTACACGTTTCTCTCGATGATCGTTGCCACCCGTACAACGCAACAAGTGAACCTACAGGTTGTTCCAAAAGCACTCGACCAAATTTAACCTAAAAAAAAAAAANGATCTGAGAGGAAACGATGGTTAAAGGAAAATTTGAAATTTTAGCTGTTTTATGGAGTTCTGTTCTCTTGATCATTGTTGTCGTATTGATGAAGAAGTGGCTGATGAATCAATTATGGAAATTCACAGTGGAAATATTTTAGTTGATGGTAAGTTCGCCAGGAGTTGTCTTTTTGTTTCTCTCTCTTTCTTTTTCGCGAGGCAGATTTTGTGAAGGATATAGTTGAAATTCGACGAAATCAATTGTCGAAAGTACATCTCGTTTCACTGAAAAATTCAGTCGGGCCGTTTTTAAAAATTCCACGCCGAACAATTCTCGTTGAAAATTTCAAACCCGGCCAATGCTCAACGCATTTTAGAAATTTCCTACTCTATATTCTATCTCCCCCTGAAATAACTGTAACCACGCTTGCCGCGAACGTATAGTATCTCTCTGAGGAAATGAAGACGTTCGATGCATACATGAATTTGTTGAGATAAAACGCGGGGCCACTGTCTCGCGGTAAGAATAGGAAAAATTGCGACAAGAATTTCAGAATGAGGCGTAATTCTCGAGGAGAGGAAATAATTTTCTCTCCCCGAGGAGAAAAAACGCCAAGTCCCCTTTAAATTCTTAATTGACAAAAAAAATCCAGTGTTGGAAATTTAACCCTGTTGCGAGGTTGTTGCAGAAACTGAAAGAAGACAATGAGAAAAATGTAGACATAATCTCCACAGAGTGTATACAAGAATAAGAGAAGCTTAATCCGATGAAAATTTCAATCTCTTGAATTCGCGCATCTTAAAAAATTATTTTACAGGATTTTAATGATAACGCGATTTTGATCTAAAGAAAAAAGAGAGAGAGAGAGAGAAGTGGGTAATTTCTCGAAATTTCAATTCACTGTTTTCCCTTCGTTTCTACAAAATTTAAAATTACTTTTATCTTCTTCGACACGAAGGAGTTCCAAAATATTTTCCCGAAGTAAATTCCTTTAAACGATTCGTGCATCTTTTTCTAGAACTATCGAACGCTATTGTAATTCGTAGGCTGCTAATAATCGCGTAACTGGAGCTTTATCCTTTCGTTCTCGAAACGGTTCGAATAATTTTCGTTGGTTAGCCAAGCTATCTGGAATGTTT